CATCATTCCTGCCTGTTCACATTAACTTACTAGGAAAAAGGAGAACTCAACATGTGTCTCACTTTCCCTTGTTGACAAAACCCTTTCATACAGCAACAGCAGAAATGTTTACATGTGTGTAAAAATAATAACAATTGTCAGATGACCCCAGGTAGCACTATAAAAAATACTCTCACTCCTAGCTACAGAGGAAATTTTCATTTTATGATTATCTATCACTAAATTTGCAGTTCTTAGGAAAATGCATCCCTAACTACTGCGGATGAAAGAAAGAGAGAAAAAGAGAGAAAAAGAGAGAAAAAGAGAGAAAAAGAGAGAAAAAGAGAGAAAAAGAGAGAAAAAGAGAGAAAAAGAGAGAGAGAGAGAAAAAGAGAGAGAGAAAAAGAGAGAGAGAGAGAGAAAAAGAGAGAGAGAAGAAGAGAGAGAGAAAAAGAGAGAAAAAGAGAGAAAAAGAGAGAAAAAGAGAGAAAAAGAGAGAAAAAGAGAGAAAAAGAGAGAAAAAGAGAGAAAAAGAGAGAAAAAGAGAACTGCATTTTCTTGATTTATTTCAGTTACAAGAAGTCCGTCTATCAAAAAGAGAGCAAGCAGGGGCACAACTCCTATCTTTATATAGCTGGGACAATCCTAGCCAAAGGAGCTTTTTGATTTGTTTTCGGATCTTGTTCTCTTCCCTCCCGTGAGCAAATTAGCTGCTGTAGAGAACAGACTGCTGCTACAGAAGCGCCGCGGACGTACGCGTCCCCCGCCCCCCTCTACTGCTAGTCTCAAAGCGAGCATCAGACTCCCGAAAGAGTTTCGAATCATTAACTCAGACTATAAGATACCACTAACACGACTACGCGTATCAAACTACTTATTAAATTAACTCCCACAAACAGCGACAACAAAAATCAGCAACATTAAATGCACAGATCTTACGTATGTTGCAGGGCAGAAACAGGATCCCCTTCAGAAGGATGTAAACCCAAAGGACACAAAGATCATGTATTAAAAGATACTTGATGCTGCAGCCTTTGAAATCTCACCTCTTCCTTCACATTTGGGTGATAAAAAACATTACGAACTAAGAGAAATGAAGGGAAGTTAAGAAAAAGAAAATTTAAAATGGATACGAGAAAAATAGTAATCTTGAGATGTATTAATATTTTGCACTTCAACAGCACCTTCAAATTACCTACAAATTGGTAGTCTCCAGACACTTACGTGAGGTAGGCAATTATTTCAATACCCATTTCACAGAAGAGTCATCTGAGGGAGAGACTAACTGATTTGCCCAAGGACACACACACACACCAAGCCTGGGACAGAGCTCGGAATGTTACCCAGAAGCCAGCTGCCTCCCAGTTCTACCACTTAATTACTTTTAAACCCTTTCAAGAGACTGCAGGATAGCGTCCCAACGGAATCGATGGAAGCCTCATTTCTCCAGACATTTTAAACCAGAACAGTCAAACTATCCTAAGTACAAACTGCTCTTTTTTTCCCCAGGGGATAGGAAAGGCAACTTCCTAGGTGTCCATTTGTGTCTACGGTCCTTGTCAGTACTCCCTTACCTGGAGAAGCCTTTTCCGCAGCTCTGGCAGATGTAGGGCTTTCCCACAGAGCCGTCGTGAGACCGAACGTGATAGGACATCCTGTCCTTCCGCTTGAACCGCAAGCCGCACACCGGGCATGAGTACGGCTTCTCGCCGGAGTGCGACAGCTTGTGCCGATTCAGGTGGTACACGTCCCGAAAAATCTTCCCACAGATCTCACAGGCCACCTGCTTCCTCGTCCTGCTTCTTTTTCGGGGTGCGTCGGGGTCGTCCTGGCCAGGGACGCCATTTTCACCCAGTCTTGGGGGCGGGATGTCTATGTAGCCCAGCTGCAAGCTCGTCACCCCATGCTGAGCCTCGTGCTGACGAAGGCGATTAGCATCCGTGAATACTTTCCCGCAGAGGCCGCAAGGCAGGATACCTGCCTCTCGCAGGCCCCCCGGGGCACCAAACATCATGGAGTCCAAGAGGTTGGCCTTACGAGGACGGCCTCTGCCCCTCTTGGTGCTTAAAGTGGGGGCGCTAGCAG